ACCTCCCAACAGAGCTAACTTTAGTGCTGTTACTGCTGTGCACATACAGCACCCATCTTTGGAGTTATATTGAATCATCAGGAAACAACAGGAAAAGCACCCAGCAGCAGATCACTGCATTGGAGGGGATTTTAACCATCCTGAGCTAAAAGCAAAACTCCCACCTGGGGTGGGAATACACTGGGCAAGATGTGAGCAAACCTCAGACAAGTTTAAGGGCAAACCCTAGAAAAATGGACCACTTGTATCTCCTCTATATGTCAATGTTCTACTGAGGGTTTTAAACCAGGAAGAGAATAGAAACATGCAGGACGCCGGCCCTCGGTGAATGTCTTTAGTCCTCTGACTTAGAGCCACTTGGAGCAGCGGAGGAACTCTCTGTTCTCTGTGGACTACAGCTCTTTACTGTATCATATCGTGTCATAGTGCATGTCATATCTTATTATATCGATGGATGGTACTCTGATTGAGTCAGTGATTTTAACTGAATCAAGACCGCATCTGACATCAGTGAAATAGGAACCGTTTTTTTTTGTGTGTGTGACCATCAACATTTGGATTGTGTGTGTTTCTTAAGTCTCACACAAATTCTTTTAATTCTCAGGCTTTGCTCTCTTTGGAATACTTAACTTCACAAGTCTGAAGTGTGACCTGATTGATGGACTCGCATATCAATGTTTGTGACATCACCAAGCAGACTGTGTACTTTAGACATGTTGACAGGTCATCATACTTGAGGTTATAAACAAAACTTTAAATTTTTCTTTTCCTCCATTTTTGAAATATTTTTGTTTTTCTGCCTCGGATGATAAGGACGTCTCTTACAATATATGTGGATTTTTTTAAATGGTTTATGATGGTCTATTATTCTTAAGCCATAAGTCTTTAAGGGATGTGTGTCCTTTTGAGTGCTACTTGATGTTCCAGTGCATAAAATCGTCTCTAGATGTTAAAAATATTTGGAGAAATTTAATTTCGCCACGTATTCCACCAAAGCCGATGCAAAATGGCTCTTTCTTCGTTTAGTTTGCTAACCAAATGAGGCTCTGTAGCACAGACATATTTGTTCACAGGTTTGTTTGTTCAAGGCGTGTTGTCACAGAGACAAATTGATCAACCCAGTCAAATTATCCTGCAGACGCATAAGAGTCTCAAGATTTTCTGCTGCTTTTGTTTCTTATGATTTTTAAAAAATCGTAATTTCTTTATGCCTTGTTGTTGATGTTTCATTACTCTTGCACAAAGCAAAGAAATTACCAAAAAAGTGTATTTACATCGATTATCCATTGTTATTTCAAGATAGCCATAAATGCCTTCCTTATTATAAGAAATACATAAAGAAAAGTAATAACCAAAATAGAAACAATTACTTCCCATCTCAACTGAGGGGGAATATAATTAAGGTTTATTTGAGTAAACAATTATTATTATTATTTTTATTTTTTTGCTTTTTGTTTAATTCTGTTGGTTTTTCTGTATGTGTTGTGAATACATAATGTGTAAAATATACATTATGAGGTTGAATGAACGTTCATATAAAAAACAACTTTCCATTTTACTTGTGCACAGCAATTTCTGACCAGTGCTAATATTAATGATAATAATATTAATATTAATAAATTTAGTAATACATTTAATTCATAATTCCTTTTATATCTCCAGCTGATATCTCAAAGAGCTCATTGATGATGGCTAGCTACTGGTTTGTAGCTCCGGCTAACAGAAGCGAGGCAGCCATATTTGCGCCGTCAAACCCAATGAACATATTCTGTAACTCTCCATACCTTGTTAAATTTTTAGACTCACTACCTGTCAGCTGCTTTGCATGTGTTTTCATTTCCTTTACTGCTATGTCAATGTTGTGGCATGTTGCCTAACACTTTGGTTATGAGTGATGTAATATTGAAGTTTTAGGCTGAGTTAAAAAAAAAGAAAATCACACGTTTTTTACAGAATTTATATTTGGAAACTTAAAAAATAAAGTTAACAGTTAAATAGTACCTTAGATCATGTCACGCTTTGCTTGTAAAATATCAGATTGTGTTTTGTTTCGACCTTGTGTCCTTTCAGGACCTTTTATAATGATGTTTTAAAATCATAACCTCAAACCTGTTACCGTAACTCATCATGTTGCTGACTTTCTTTCACCCTTTCTTCCTTTTGGTCTTTCCTTATTTCTTTCTTTCTTAGGGGTAATGTCAAATCTACCCAAACTTCAACTTTCTATTTCTAAACACAGATTTAAATGTATTGTTTCTAATCATCAGTGAGAGGAGTCCTGGGTTTTTGGGGTGTTTTTGCTGACTGTGGCCAACGCTGTCATACAAAACGATTTACTTGTAATCACTCAACTTCCGATAATCGTTTGTTTAGCAGGCATGACAGGAAAAAGTCAAAGAGTCTTTTCTGGAACCACGAGCAGCAAATCTCATGCAAATGGTTATTTGCAGGAAAATGTTTTTTTTTTTGTTTTGTTTTTTTTTTAGGTGTCATGTCTTCGGTATCTATTTAACACACCAAAACATTTAATCAAAAACCGAGTTTTTTCTGGATTGCTTTGTTACCTTTAAGCTAATTCATTTTCAGTATGTCAAACTGGGCATTTTATGTAAATGGTAGTCAGTGAGTGGTCAGGTTATGCATTGTGAACGTATGCTGCCCTTAACACAAACTCCGCTGAACAAGAAATGGTATCGTTGAACGATTCCACTGGTGTTTGCTTTATTTCACTTGAGCCTGTTGACCAGCGGTTACTCTGCAGGTCATCACATCACGCTTCTTTTATCTAATTACTGATGAATTTATCGTCCTCCTTCAAGCTAAGGCACGCCCTCTTGTAAGAGAGCTCAAAGAATATGGCGTCGTCTGTGCCACCATGCAAATCCCCAACAGGTTCTGCTTGTTTGCCAACCTGAAGTTGAGCAGAGAATTATAAAAACCAGAAGCTGAGAAATAATTTGTCAACGACAGCAACTTTTTCAAAGTTGAATGCCGACTCTGCCTCCAACTAGACTTGATTATGAGCACAAGATGTAAAGCCGCAGTGTGTCGGGTCGGTGTTGTTCTTTGGGCCCAGTGGCGTGCCTTAAGTCAGAACATTGAAATGAGGAGGTAAATCATGAGAAAATGCAAAAACATCATTTGCACAAGATTCCCTGTGTGTGTCTTTGCTCTTATAATGTTTCTTTCTATTGGAAATGGATTCATTTAAACGCTGTCCTGAGCGTACTGCCCTGATGCGCTCTGATTTCACTATGATTATGACTAGTGATTATTTTGCTGTCCTGTTTTTTGAGAATTGGGTGAAATATTGTTATTATACAGGGTGGGGCATAAGTTTCCATACACAAAAATAATAAACATTTTATATTGTACAACCATTTTTATTTTTGTGGGACTCTGTGTAATCGTTGCACGTCTTGGACCACTTCGTGGTCGATCTGCAACATTTACAGTTTTCTGAAACTTGCAAATAAGTTTTGCCACAGTGTCGTGTGTGACGCTCGCTCCATGTTTTCTGTTAAAGTTTCATGCAACCATGCGACTGCTTCCAGATCCATCAGTGTCATTTCAATTCTTTGCTCTTTTGTCAAACGCATCTTCTTGGGTATCTGAAATATAAAGGAAATATACATCTTACATTCTCCTATGTATGGAAATTTATGGCCCATCCTGTATAAAATATTGGTAAAAGAAGGTGTTACATCATAAAAATACCAAAATGTAATTTTGTGGCCTATGTGCAAAACGTTCAGAGTGGAGAAAATTGAACACTGATATTGGAGTGTTTAACCATCCAGTGGTGTCAAAATCCCAACATGTTGCCAAAAACAAGTTTGCGTCCAATTATCTGCTCCATTTCTATCCACTTAAATTAATATGAGTGCAGTGATGTTCTTCATATCCTACAGATAGCAGACCAATGAGTATAATTTACTTATTTTTTTACATTTAAAAATACATTTTGATTTCATTATTGTCCACTGGAAAAATCTACACAGAAAAAAAAACAATACTTATACGTGAAATTAATTTTAAACATTGATATCTGATGTTTAAAGTTTTTCTTTTTAAGTAGTGGCATTTATAAATGAAATGGAGACATCTATTCTGTTCAGAGTCAATTTAACCCACAGCATTACAGGAGGGTTAATCAAAGCATGCTAATGTGTTAGAATGGAACAGTCAAAGTTCAGACATGAATCATCACAGATGGTTTCCATCATGATCTGGTCCATATTCAGCTGTTTCCTTGTTACAGACACATGGGACTTTTTTTTACACATGACAGAACATTGGCTGTGTTTTCATTAACCATAAAATTGCACAAAATGACTTAATGGAAACACAGCAATTTCTGGTTGGCTGACAAATGATGAGCACCAAGTCTGAATTAAGAATATTTGTCATTTACATCCATCACTGCCATGATTTTTAATGACTTATCATGTGAACAAACTCATTCACGTGATTTCAATTTAATTTCTTATTTAATGAAAACAGAACTATTGCAAAATTGTGTTTTTTAGATGTTAGCAGAATATAGACAAAGATTTGCTGAACATAAACTGAACAGCTTATGTTCAGTTTCTGTTCATGTTGCAAAATAATTCCCAAATTTTTCCCCAACTTCACGATTGCACAACGTTGAGTCATATACAACCCCGATTAAAAAATAAACATTAAAAAACAACATTCAAATTTGTGTTTTGGGAAAATGGGTAACCTTTTCAGGAAATGTAAAAATGTATGAAAATGTGTTTGTTTTTTTCTCTCTCTTCTTTTGATAACAAGGTACCATGAGGTCATCTTAAGGAACAAACCTCAGACTAACCCCAAGACGAGTGACCGCTCCTGAAGGAGACGGCTTGATTTGGTAGACAAATGTCCATGGAAAACCTGAAGACACGGGTCCTGCCCTGAGCAGCCCGGCTGGCTGGGAGACGAGCCATGGATGCAAATGAGCTGCAAACAGAAAGCTGCGTCAAAAGAGCATCCAACCCTCCACCCAAAAAAAGCACCACCCTGCTCAGCATAAGCCGGCGTTAGAGACGATTGTGCACACTTACTGGGATTCTGATCGCTGATCAGCTGCTGGTAGATATGGGACTACATCCTTACTTGGTTAGCTAAAGTCAGAACATTTCATACTTTGGTTTTCTGTGAGACATTTGGAGCAAAAAAAGGTAAGAGTTGCTTTAGATTGATTTCAATGACTTCATGGCATTTTTCACATTTTTTTTAAGAAATCTGAGTAAACATTCAATTTCATATCCATAGCAATATTAAAAATCATTTTCATGCTTGATCACTTGTTCAAGTTGTTTAATGAACATTTCATTTGGTGCAATGCACTTTGACCTGTAGCAGCTAATGTCCTTTTTTTAAATAACTGAGATAAAGCTGCTTCAAGATATCATATCATGTTCTGAGAGCATAGATTTATATGAATATATCTTTATATTATGGAGGAAATAATTTACTGTACTTGTTTTTAAGCTTTTTTTAATAACTGAAGAAGTGATGTCACACAAAAAAAACTCCAACTTGTGCCATCGGACAGATTTCAGAAACAATGAGCTGCAGGCATCAACCCAACAGGAAAATGTTGTGGGTTAAAGGACGTGCTGCGTTTACAGACGTTTTATTGTGCTGGTTTTTTACAGCTGCTTCTGCGGGCAGAGTTTAGCAGTTTCCTGTATCAGACGAAGAAAAAAAATGCACCAGTTTACTGACATTCATAGCTCAGATGCAAAGTAATGCAAACATGTTTGCTTAGGAAAATACTTGCCGCGCAAATTTCAATAGAAAAAAAAAACAGATACCTGCTGATAAATTATTTAAAAAAATGTCTGGGGTGAAAGAAGTTAAACGTAAACCAGCATGTTTATGTTTTTCAAAACTGTTTTGAAAGCAGAAAAATCTTCTGCATTTTTCTATATTTTTGTTGAGTATTTTAATCAGGATTTATGCAGCAACTCAAAGTCACAACAATATGCTTTTTGTGACTTACAATTTAAATTAATTTAATTTTTAAATAAATTTTGGATTAACTTAAAAATAAATGCAAATGATTTTAGTTGTGCTTTTTATTTGTGATAGCTTCTATAAACTGACTCGGAAGAACTGTTTTGTAATGGAGCCCACATATAAGTTTCCTTCTTAAAAGAAAGTACAATTTGAGATGATACTGTATCAGAGGAAGGGCTAAAAGAAACACCCTCATATTAATGGTTGTATTAATATAACCATATTTCTTTGAAATTCTAAAGACTGCAAAAAAACAAACAAAAAAAAAAAACAGACCAAGCAAGAAATGAAACTGCTACATAGAATGTTCAAACCTTTAGTGAATTGCAAGGGGAAAAAATGTAGAATAACAGATTTTTTTAAAGACGTATGAAAAAGTGGAAGCAGCCTTTAGAAATATAAATTTGAAAAATTACTAAATCTACAGAATGACCCAGGTGGGTTAAGCAGAAGTAGGGAGATAGATATATTCTTTAAATTCACATTTCTCATTAATATTTTCACATTTCGACTTCTTTGGTTGTAGAGATCAACTTTTCATCGTTATGTATTTCATATTTGCTCATTTCAATGTGATTTGACCTGCTCCTCTGGCTGCAGTTAGGAAGGGAAAATACTACATGAGATCTGCACTGTTTTTCTTTTTTAATTGGAAAACCCCCAGACACATAATTCCAGTGCACCTAGACTTGTCACAGTAACTTCAAAAAAAAGTTAAACTGAAGCTGAGGTTATTTTTGAAAATTATTAGTGACTGTCATTACTGTGATATTTCAGGAGAATGTCTTTATTGTCTTTGTGAACACCAACAACTTTGTCGGTTACGTATGTATGTTCTTGAACAAACCGTAGTGTTTGACAGGACAGGAAGAGTCCTCGTTGAAAATGATCTTTGAGCATTTTTTAAATCTTTTGTCTTTCTTTTCCCATCAGAGGAGCAATGTGGACCAAACATTTTCTTTTTCTGGTCGGCGCCCTGTGCATGTGCCAGGTAGAGACAACCTTCCTTCTCAAACTTTATATTTGTACAGCCTGATCTATTTTGCTCAGGAAAACATTGTAAGCCCAAGTCAATTTGACACAGATACTAATTATGGCGTTTTCTTATCTTTTGCCTTTGTAGGTTTTTTCGCAAGGTGAGAGAGTTGACAGCACAGTGGAGACGCGCAAAAACAAAACACATTTTTCACAAACACTACGACTCAAGATCTCTTTCTTTCTGTTCACTGTATAATTTATGAGTTCATTCCAAATAGACTGCCAATCTATTACATCAGGATGGGAACCTGTATCCTGTCTGTGCTTGTCAACTCATCTTCTTCCTCTTTTATCAAGACATCTACGTTGCGGAGGTGATGGTAGAGAGCAACATCACGCTGACGTCTGAGAGCATCCTGGCGAGTTGGAGGCCAACCATTTCCCTCAGTGTGGGTAGTAACGTTGTGACAATCTCCAGCAGCGAACTGGTCGCAGGTATCCTATCTGAACAATGTTTTCCCCTCAGAGTTGTTCCAGCATGAAGTTAGTGGGCAGGCGGGAGCTTGTTGAACTACTAGTTTAGGAAAGTAGTGTTTGTTTGGAGTGAAAAACTTTTTTTTTTTATGTTATTTTATCTTTGTTAAAATGCAAACAGAAACTTGTTATGAAGTTTTGCATTTATTTTACCTGTTGGACCGAATATTAAACGATGAAATGTCTTGATGCGGAGATAGCCATGCAGTTCTCAGTGGGCGGTGTGTTAAAGTGGGTCACAGTTTGTTCAGGAACTCCTGCTGCATTTAGTCATGTTTGTACCACTGTTGCACCCGAGTGAGTCTGGTTGTTTTTGTGATCCTGATTATGAGAATTTAAAGCAGAAGCAGAAAACGTTCCAATTCTCGTCAACAAGTCGAGTCAAATTTATTTGTATCTCATTTCTGCAACAAGGAAGTTCAAAGTGATTGACATGACAAAAACACAGCACAACAAACAGAAAATACAATTTTCAGTTTGCTCCAGCAAACTGAAAATGCTTCAATCCAAAGACTTCTTATTAATCAAAGGCAATTCCAAACAGGCGGGTTTTCATTTTGATTTAAAGCACATGCGTCAAACTCAAGGCACGTGGGCCAAATCCAGCCCAACATAGCTTTTTATGTGGCCCTCTAGATTCTAGACTAAACACTAAGTGTACTTAAATATTATGCTATCAAATAAATCAATGCAGTTTTTATCTGTTTGCCAACAAATTATATCAATCTGTCCCTCGTGGTTCTTGAGAATTATTGTGGAAATTCACACAAAATCAACAAATCCACACTCTGTTTGGGAGTTTATTGCAGATTTTTCTCAAAAATTGTCAAAAACTTTTACCTGTACTAAACAGCTGCCTCAGCATTAGATGATGTCAGATTATATAGTCCACGATCTACACAGTGAGCCCTTGTACCGTCATAAACAAGTGCAAATATTTCTAAATTAGTATCATAAACACTTTGATTTTTATTGCAAAAAATGACAAAAAAGAATCACAAAATCCTGGAGGGACTGAAAAAATGTTCAACAATGTTATTTAATTGTAAGAATTCATTGTTTTTTTAACAGTTTGTGAACAGGTTTTATCAATACATTCAGCACAACCAGCCCTTTAAGAACATTCATGATTTTGATTTGGCCCAAAATGAAAATAAGTTTGACACACCTGATTTAAAGGAACTCTCTTTCGGCTTTTTTTTTCATTGTATTCTTTGCTTTTTGAGTCTTTGAATATTTCAATTTTACCAGTATTTGTTCTGGACTGGAAGTACTATCTCAAGTTCTTTTTTTTAATTGAATTGTACTTTTGTAAAAGCGTGAACAATGCAGGACTTCATCAGATCTCTCACATTTTTTCTCAAATGATTTTACAGTGTGCTCTAAGCTAATGTTCTCGTACCTTTGGTGACAGAAATCTATATTCTGTGTCACTCTCTAGAATGCCTGGTTGTTGGAGAAGAATACAGCTGCAACTGCTCTAAAGGCTACGCTTGGAGCAACGAGGTCTGCTACAATTATGGCTGCTGTACTGAAGCTACATGTCTGAAAAATGTGTCCCAGGCTACATCCATCTGCGTTGAGAAATTCAACGGTAAGCGTTCGTCGAAGTCCTTCTGACAGTTTTTGAAAATTGTCCAGCTACAAGGAAGTCTTGAAGATTTTAACCATGCTACCTTTTGGATATGCTTTGATGTTGCATCAAACCTTTTTTTTTCATGGCAAAATTCATCTTCATTTTTGTCATTTGTTGGAAGTTGTCATCAATGGATCTGTACAGCTGACTGCAGGGTCCTGGACTTCCGCACAAACCACGATGGTATGCATCGCTCTAGTCTCAGAAGAGGTTAATTCTACATTCAGCTAAGTGTTAGAACTACTCTTTTCTCTCTGTTTAAGCTTGAAACTGGGCTGAGGATGATGAATGGCGTGGGATCCGTGAATATCACTGGGCCGAGGTTTGGACGATGCTGTCGTTTTGCTGACAAATACAACACAACCGATATTAGGAGATTTTTTTTTCCAAGAATGACTGTGATCAGAGTCTACTACACACTTTCACGTGGAAAAGTGAAAGTGTGTAGTAAACACACTTTCAGACTCAGATTTGCAGAGCTGTCTTTCCACATCTATAATTAACTCCAAAATTCAGAAGCTTATTACAAACTAATTGTAGATAATTTCTCTGTGCTCACGTTTAAATATAGAATTTTGCAACTATAAAAAAAACACAAACAGACAAAGAGAAAGGAACCAAGGATGGGAAGAAAAACAGAAAGAAGGAATAATGGCAGGGAGGGAAAGGAATGGTTTAAGGAAGGGAATACAGATATGAATAAGAAAAGACAAAAAAGACAGCATAGGGAAGGAAGAAAGGAAGAAAGGGATTAAAGGAAGGAAGTAAAGCAGTAAATAATTATACTGAATATGTGCATTGTAAGCACATAGTCAGTTTGCCAGAAATTGCCGGTTCTCTGCCAAAAAACAAACTGTTTCCATTCACAGACATGTTTATTTTATCCATTATGTTTTCCAAATCCTCTGCAGATTGTTAGAGCCGGCCTTTGCTGACTTTCAGATGGATGTCTATGTCAGATTAGACATTCCTAAGCTTCAACAGATTCTCAATGGTCTGACTGTCAACCTATCATCGGCTCCAATTTACGTCGACACTAAAAGTCAGTAACTCTCACAGTTTCGTTTTCGTATTTCATGATCTGTGTGATGTCACTTTCAGGCCTTGTACACACATAGACATGTCTTCATAAAAAAAATAAATAAATAAATTAGAATTATTTTCCCGCATCGGTTACAGGAAAATGTTTTCATCCACGTGAACCTGCATAAATCCAGCCCTTAGCATTATTTTGAACATGCTAAACCCATAGGGGGCAGTGTAGCACAAAGCTAAAACCTGTGTCAGCCAATCAGATTGCTTCAAAATAATCACATCTTTCTTTTAGGAATTAACCATGGCACCAGGATGTTTGTTTGTGTAGAAAGATCTGAAGGTTAAACTGCTTTTAAATTGAGTATAAAATATAAAGTTAACAAAACACAAGATAGTGTCAATTGGGAATCATGTCAAAGCAAATATGTAGACTTGCTTCGACAAATCCACATATTTGGACTTGTCAAAGTATGTGGACTTTGACTGCAAATCTCCATTTTCATATGTACACACACAAACATAAATAGAGTTTTTTCAATTCGCCACTTTTGTCTGAGTTTTTATAAATAACAGTTTTTAATTATGTCAAACTGAGTTTCTGTGTGGACGAAAGGCCAAAGCGAGTGAAAATGTTTCCAAAGATATCTGGCTATGTGTGGACTAGGCCAAAATGTGAAAATGATTTCTATTATGTTTAGTTATTTTGAAAGTGCACCGGATCAGTTCCTCACATCTCAACTGAGTGTCTGTTATTATTTTCTTAAAGCTTTCTATAATGTTCATTAGCAGTGGTACTTTTATCATAACGTTGTTTCTTGATTACTCAGGCAAAACGCTGCCCTTCCATGCATGGCAGAGGCACTTTTTGGGAGGTTGTAAACCAAAGAATGGAATTACTCCTGGACTGCTAATCTGACTGATCTTTCTGTCTTCTACTATGATATAGAAATGGTAAACATCTCTGTCAAACCCAGCGATACAGTGGAGTATGAGACCAACATTAATCTTGCCTGCGTAATGGAGGAAGCCACAGGAAGCGCTGGGTGGAACCTAAGTACACCATCTGAGCGCTTTTCGATCAATAAAGGCCTTCAAACCCAAATTACCACGGCCTGTGTTAATGAAGTATACAAATCCTGTGTGGAACTTATTGTAACAAAAGTAACAGGTGTATGGACAGGCAAGTATACCAACCTTACCTCGATTATCTTAATGTTTAACTGAAACCAGCTTTGATATATAAGATGAGACTAAACTCAGTGTGTATTGTATGTAATTACTATGTAATCAAGTTTTCTAAAGGGAAAATAAACGTCATAATGAAGAAATGCTTCAGAATCCCAGACAGGTAGTTCACACGGTATGATGCAGTCTGGGCCTGCAGTATTATTTCAGTTCAGTCTCTTCTGCTGCCTGTTCACCTGATTTGTAGAGACATACAGGCCTTGAAAGGTGACAAAACGGGAAAACAGCATCTCTTAATGTAGCTAAAGAAAAACGTGGAAACAGAAAAGTCTATGTCCAAGGTTGATGAAATATTTTGAAACTTTACTGAATACAATTCAGTATGACCTCAAAATATCCCCATGGTGCACTGTTTTTTTTTTGTTTGTTTGTTTGTTTGTTTTTACTTTCCCAGTTATATTACAAAAGCATTAAGTACCATTTTATGTGTAAGTGTGGCTCAAACCAAAATTTCTCAAGCTATGTATGAGCAGTCATTTGAAAGAGAAAAGGTAAGACCTTGAAATGTATCTGTGTTTTCCCACTAGGTATATATGAGTGTGGATTTACAACTGGAACAATCAGACACACTGCCAGCATTCCCATAAAAGTAGCTCCCCTGCCAGATGTAATTACCATGAAGTTTAGCCCTATGATTGTAGATTGTTCTGGCAACAATCATTCTGTAAATATCATAGCAACTATCCCAAAGCCTGAAGAGGAATACAAATACCTTTGGAGCTACAATGGTGCAAATGACAAAGAGACAAATGGTAAGATAATTCTACAGTTTTTTGTACATTTACTATTCTTAAACTTAAATCAACTTCCTGACAGAAACATCAATCTTTGTGTAGCAGGTAAAAGTCAAATAAGTTTCACTTACAACCGTCAGCTGGAATGTGAATATAAAGACCCACAACGTGTGCAAATCACTTTTATAAACAGCCTAAATCAGAAAAAGACTGCAACTGTGGAAATCCCTGTGTTTCGTGGTATTGAATCCATTCAACTTGACACAGTTGACACAATACTTCTAACTTGCCTTTACATTGATTGACATTAATCCTTTTTTTTCTCAAGAAACTGCAAAATTCTGCAAAGAAGAGACTCTCAACAATGAGATTTGGCTAAAAACTCCGGCTGATGTGACATTGATTAATCAGACTTGTCCACCAGGCAGGGTTGGGTTCAAGTCACGTATATGTGATAAGGAGGGAATGTGGCAAGATGTTTTCTCCAAATGCATCAGTGAGGAGCTGAGCAAAGTTACAGACGCAGCTAACGTGAGTTTGGATTTACCCACACAGAATGTCACACTTATCTAGCCAGTGAGAAGACATGACTTAATGCATATGCTTTTTATTAGACTTTCAAAATATCAACCAACCATGTTTGCAAATTGCAAGGCTTGAAGATATTAAGCAGTAGCACCTTCCTTTATCTTTTCACCACTAAGGACGCAAAAGGAAAATCATAATTTCTGCAGGATTTACATACTAATATTTGCTTGTCCATTGCTGTTGATGTTTTTTCTAGAATTTTCTGAATGGACTTGGAGCCACACAGGAAGTGGCTATGAACATATTTGAAGGAGTCAAGAACAGCTCTAGTTTAAGTTCAGATGGCTCTGGTGATGACGTTGCTGACATTGGTGCTTCCATTGGCATTATAGGAGTGATGGCCAATGCTTCAGTCAACATTGTTCTGAATGAGGATGTGTTTCCTGTAAGATCATTTACTGTTGATATTCAGTTTCAGTGTAAAACAACACTAATGCACTACTCTAAGTATTTTTTTCTTCAAATGTTTTTATGTCTACACCATTTTTGAGATGTCGAGGCACAATCATCACACTGATTGCTAAAAAATGCATGTAATTTTTAGTAAATAATATGATCTTCAAAATGATGATATAAAGTAGGTAATATCTACAACTAAATGTCATTTGGAAAATATTCACTTTAAAGAGTTCATTAGCAGTTGTGGGATACATTGTCTTGCTAGCCACATAGATCAAATATTAGATTAACTCCAACTTACTCATACTATCAGAAATATGAGTTAATTTCAGCTACCATTCTTATGCTATTCTCAAACTGATAATGTACTAACCTGATTACCACATAACATGCATGTGTGTTTTCCTAATATCTTACAGGATTTAGTCGATGCAGCCAGCAATATGGTCAACTCAAGCTGGAGTGCGGTAAATGACACAATTCGTTACGGCATGTCTGCAAACTACCTTTCCAGTGTGGAGACTTTGGTGAAGAACATCAATATCAACACCAGTGAGGGTTTCAACAGTACAAACTTGGAGCTCAAATTCTGCTCAAGTGATGACTGCAGCATTAATGTGTTTGGCATTGATGTCAATTTGAACAAGACCAATGGAACCATGAAAACCTTGGGTGTGAAGAATCTGATGGAAAAAATGAAAAACGACAAGTTCCCAGGCAGAAATCGCAGCAGCATATTGCTGTCAGCCACCCTTGTAGGTAACAGTGATTCAGATATTAAGATTAAAATGTTCTTCCCTGACGAGCAACCAACCGCCACAGAACGTCTCTGTGTCTTCTGGGACACAAATAAAACAGACTGGTCCAGTGAAGGCTGTATTGCCAATGTCACCGACGACAACCAAACACTCTGTGAATGCAACCACCTCACTTCTTTCTCTGTCCTCATGTCCAAAAGCGCCAACGTCAAGGATTCCTCGATCCTTGACATGATTACAAACATTGGACTGGGTGTGTCTATTTTCTCCCTGCTGATCTTTCTTTTCGTCGAATCCCTGGTGTGGTCAGCGGTGACGAAGACGAACCTGTCGCATTTCCGTCACACAGCCGTGGTGAACATTGCCGTGTTCCGCCTGCTCGCAGACTGCAGCTTCTTGGCTTCGACTGAACCCACAAAGCTCTCCGACACCTGGTGCTTCACCTTCACCGTCTGCAAGCACCTGTTTTACCTGACGATGTTCTGCTGGATGCTTTGTCTGAGTGTGATGCTCGTCCACCAACTCATCTTTGTTTTCAGCCCAGTCAGGAAAAGAGTCTTCATGTACCTCTCCAGCATTGTAGGCTATGTTGTACCAATTGCACTAGTGGGAACCAGCTATGTGTATTACAAATACAAAGAGCAGGATTACTATGATAGAGAATCCTGTTGGTTAACGTATGTCCGGCTGTTAGAGGGCTCCATTCACGCATTTCTTCTTCCTGTGGGTACCATTATTTTGTCAAATCTCTTCTCCATGGTGGTTGTCATTGTCACCTTGGTGAAGACCTCTGTACCAGACAGCAGCAAATCAGATGACAAGGACACAGCCAAGAGCATTCTCAAAGTGATTGTCTTTCTAGCTCCCGTCTTTGGAGTAACATGGATCATCGGCTTTGCTTTACTCATGCTGGACGGAAACAACCCCTTGTATGAGGTTGCAGAGTACGCCTTCGTCATCCTCAATTCTTTCCAGGTAATTTAATATGCAACTCTCAAGCCTCTTTCACATCATTGTCGATCCGTGATCTTCACGTGCTTTGTACACCTTACGATCAACTGAAAGAAATCAAGAAATAGTGGGCGAGGGAGGGGTTGAAAAGAACACATAAACAATACACCCCTTGGCTAATAGGTGAGCACAAAACCAGGATCTGATGCAAATAACACGACAGAGATGGTCCACAACAATTTTGCTTGTGCCTATAGCCCTGAATGCTTTCCTCTCAGTTGATAGAACAACAGGGAGTTGCTAGCTTAAAAAAAAAAAAAAAAAAAAAAAACAGCTCCTCTTTCTTCGCTTTGCTTTGTACAGAATGTCTGGACCCTGGGATGTTGAGGAATGATTGCTTGCTGTTGAAGTTTTATTTTACCCAACCACTATGGTTTGGTCATGACGCATGTAATGTGACAGTTCAATGCTGTGAATTGCCTGAGCTGTAAACAACCATCTTCCACTGCGAAGACAGAAGTGCCGATCCGAGCGTGGGGCTGTTAATGATAATTAAATATTTAGAAGCGCCAGTGATCTCAGAGTATTGTCCTGACACTTAAGGCCTTTAGTTGCTCGCGTATTTTTTGTAGAACCATGATGTGAAATGGGCTTCAGTTGGAGTTGTTATTAAACCAAACATAATAACAGTTTGGCAAATTTTTGTCCTTAGGCAAAAATTGCCCAATTCAAACATAAACTTGCAGTCAGTAGTATACATAGTCATATTGACAAATATTTACAGGATCCATTTGACAAATGTTATGTGTGTGCCTTCTCTTTCCATTGTAAGACCAGGTTAGCTGTGCTTTGGGTCATATTCTGAACACAAATCTGTTTCCAAGGTTCAGCCATGTTACATAAAGTAAAACTGTCTGGGGTAGTTAAGAACAACAGTTGAACAGACCAGGCTGATCTTAACAGGAAGATGCAGGAACATCAGTAAAGTGACATAACCACGGACTGAAAGACAGGCCTATAAACCCAACATGAAGGTGTGGGAGGCTGAAATTTGCAGCTGTCCACACAGACAAGTCAAATATTTTTAAGGAAAACATTGTATAGATTAGAAAAACTCCATATTAAATTAGAACCTTAACAGTTAGTTTTCAAAAGCCATTGAAGATGTATGTTGTATCATTGACTCATCCCAAATAAAGATTTTTTTCAATGAATAGCTAAAGAGCCAAGTAAACATGACATTCATACTGATGAAGTCAGAACTGTACATATCTTCTCCTGTAATCTGATGGTAAATAAGCAAATCAGCAAACAGTGAGCCACTATATTCACAAAGAGCCCAAAATAACATTTCGGAAACAGCTTTTGCATTGAATATAAGGTACATGCACACCTGCTCGTAAAAGTGTGAATATCCCTGTTAAAATTTCATTTTTTTCCAGAATGACTTTCAAACTTATTCCGACACAATTAAAATGAAGCAAAATGTTGGACACCCTTAAGCCAGTGCTGTGCTTTGCTCAAACACTTTGATTCAGTTTTCTTAAATTGTCACCAAAATCAATTGGATACATCCAAATAGAATATAATATCATCTAAAGAGGACAGTGAATCAGAAATGTCCTCACTATCGGAATCATCTACCTTATGTCTTTAATAAGGTAGATGAGGAGACTAATATTACAATATACAGAATGCCTATAGCCTAACAAGCCCCCAAAAGTCATGGTCAAAATTTAGCAAAAAGGTCTTTCAACTAAGCTTTAACCTGAAGACATCTCCATGGAAGCAGCCAGATTGTCAACCCCCTATTTGATTGATTTGTTTAAATTTAATTTGAATTGTACAGGATACAAACACCACTAAAGGTGAAAAGGTTGAAAAACTGTTTTGCAATTTCATGTTTAGTTGAGATGATTCTGAAACTCAGCTGCTGTATCTGTCAGATCACAAGATCATATCAATCATTAATTATGTCTAAACGGCATGGACAAAATGTAAGGGACAGCTAATTTTGTGATTACAAACCATTTTTAACACCCTGACACTCAGGAAGAGTGAAGCAGATTTCTCGGTCAGATGACAGGGAACCCGAAACCATGGAAAAGGAGGGGAAAAAAGCACGGTCTACTCAACACCCTTTCAACATTTTACATTAGTAATGTAAAATGTCTGCATTACCAGAAGATAGGAAGCACTTCATGTACATAGTGGGCTAAGTGATAAAGAAGAAAGCAAAAATACAGGATTAGTTTTAAAGGTGGTAGCTCCTTATAGAAATCTTGTAAAATATGCTTTTGCTTTTCTCTTTCAGGGTCTTTTCATTCTGCTAACAGGTTGTGTGGGAGAGCAAAAGGTAGGTTTGTCTTTTAGACACTTTGCTTTGTACTTCTTAATTTATTGAAAACATAAAGGTGAAATGGAACCAAAAAATAAAACCAGCGACTCTGAAGTACTGAAGTACAGTCCCCTGTATGGAAAGACTTTTTTTTACTATCATTCTGTCTGTGTTATCCCCAGGTGAGGCAGGAAGTGATTAGAATCATAATGGTAAGTAGTCGATCAGCTGGAAGCTATGATATGATGGAAACACCCAGAAGAAATCACTTTGTTTTTGGGGTCTTTCCTTAGGCAAAAACTGGAAAAGACACTGATAGTACCAAGAAACTGACTAATAGTTCAACTACACTCCACACAAAAGACAAATGATAAAGGTAAGATCTCCTATACATGGTCTATTATTGACTTTCAATTTGAGATTAAAAACTAATGTTCCTGAATGTAAAGCTTAGGAGAATGGTATAAGTTATAAAAGTGTTCAGGGTGTTGATAAATCAGCCAGCTTCATATGCTGATCTATATGGTGATTCAGTTTAACCCTGTTCCAAAGTTGTGAATCTTTAAATGGTAACACAACCATCATGTTTGCTGTACAGTTTTTGGGGGAAGTGCTATGATGTGGAACTATATGAAGTGATCTCCAACATCATGGCCCCAACACCTGTTGATGGACTAAGATTCCTAATAAACAGGTTTTACAAGAACAGTATGTTTAGGTACTTCAGGTCAATTTACCCGCTAAATATTAACCCCAATCATACATACTACATACTTTCAAACCTGTTGTACACATTATATATGAATTTGTCTTGTTGTTCTCCAATATGTTAATGAAATATAAAGACCAATACATATTTAAATGCTTAAATATCATGTTAAATCAGCTGTACATTTCTATCTTGACTCGTGATCAAACCAAAATTACTTAAATTGACTTCTTGCTAGTAAATGATCTCATATAGTCACATTTTATTACATTTAAATTATTATAATGTTTCTTTATTATTTTTATATTATCACCTTTTCTCCTCTGATTTTGTTTTCGGACTTGCTACTATGGCCTGACATTCAACAGTTGTTTTTGGTAACTTAAAACACTCCCTCTACCTGAAGGTGTCATTTAGCTGTTTGATCATTGAAACCAAAATATTCCTAAATGATTCCATCTAGTAAAAAACTATAATGTCAGCTGTCTGGAAGTTTTTCCTGTAGTGAATACCACAAACAGCTTTTGTTTTTAAGGAAACTCATTGAGAACAATGCTAGCATTGAGAGTTAGCATGTTTGTTGGTAAAGTAAACAGCCTACTGCAGGCTACCAGAGCAGATAAGAGCTGAACTACTTGTCAAGCTAAGACTGTGGAAATATCAGAATGACAAGAAATAATATTTTATTACTGTAACTAAAATTGTTTAATTTTCTTGTTTAGCTTCATAAATGTCCTCCTTCACCATCTACACCAGTTTTAAAATTTTTACACATCCTTGGCTCATTAATTTTAGCTAACACTATTTTGAAAATGTAACTTCAAAGCTTCATGTTGAATTTAAAACTGGCATTTAGCCTTCAAAACATCAATACTTCCCACCAAATTATGTTTCAGTGTACATGAAAAACATTGTAAAAGCAGGACTGGTTTAACCATGACAATTAATAAAAATTAGATTGAATAAAACTCTGGCATTCAGCATTTTGAAACCTTGCACAGACACTCCAGATGACAGGCTTCCATATTTTTTTATAACATCACATACAGTTTTTCTAGAGAACTTGATTTGCATTGGTCAGCCTGCTCAGCATGTACCATATTATAAGACTATATTATGTGGCTCATGGGGGTAATCTTTGGTTAAGAAAATAATGTGGCACAGTAAACACCAGAGCAATGCAAACTACAGCACTGCTGGTTGGACCAACTGGCAGAAGGAGGGACAGCGCTGGAATGTCTAGCAACTGGACGCCAAATCAAGTTTAAAGACACGGTGGTCCACAACTTTTCCTTAGGTTACCCTGGTACCATCTCTTCTGTATTTGGTTATAAATAAGCTAATAACTTCATCTTTTGCTAGCTATCCAGTCTGATCTTGAAACAATAACACAATCAGTTCCACATGCTAGTGTTTTTCATCTTTAAGAGTTACCAAAAAAATCAACTTAGCTTTACAGATTACCATCTAATTAAAGGAGTCAGTTGGCAACACACTAACATTTTGAACTTCTAAAGTTTATTCTCTGATCTTAAATGTTGCCATTTGTGTGCCTCAGACAGTGGAAACAGAAAGCAGCTCTGGTGACCGCAGCGCCCCCTGTGATCCAGGAGAGAACACTTCTTGAAGTTTGCAATGTGGTAGATTTTGATCTGTAGACTCTTCCAAATGTGTAACTGGTTTCTCTAAGAACATAAACGAAACCCAATCAAGTAGACTAATGATGATTAGCAGTGAGTTGGTGATATTTACAAAATGATGCATATATACTGTAGAAGTACATTCCATATGTGTCACTGACCAATGAGACAAGCAACCCATTTAAATAACCAATATTTTCTTTAGGTTTAGGGTCAGTGTGGAGCTTTTATTTATTATAATTTTAATTAAATAACGCAAATAGTGAAAAGTGACTGTTTAACTGTAAACTGCATGCTTCTCAGTACAAATAGCAACCTTCATGCAAATTTTTGCATTCTGTTCCAAACCAATGTATATAGAACAAAGTACAATTTTATCAAGTCTGATTGTGATCGGTTTATTTAAAAAAGAAGTTAAGATAGTTTGATGAACTACAAGCTGTAAACAATACTTGTATATTTCTGTATGTATTAGAAGTTATAGTGAAATAAAGACGTTTAGAAACTCAAGCGCCATTGTACATTTTTATTCCCTAAATGTATTACCATGGCAACATGTGCTACTAAAACAATATTAATAAATTAATTTAGTTGATTAAAGCCTATAATGCAACAGAAATTATTGCACACCAAATGAGTGTGTTGAAACTACTTCTGCTAAATAATCTATTTGTATCATTGTTCTCAGTGTTTTCCGTCTCTACTAAGAATGGAAGAGTTCATTTTTTAATGTAAAACATTTCCATATTCCATCACTGGTCCAATCTTTTGTTGTGCTAAACGAGAACCCGTACATTTTAAAACGGGTTGGTGTGAGATCTCCTGATGACAGCGAAGATGGCCAACGTTAGAACCACAGTTCCTGCAGCACCACCGATGAGAGCTCCCAGGATGCCTCTGTCTATTTTCACTTCCTCACACCTCGGGCCAGAGTAGAAGGTGGTCTGGGTTGTTGCACACCTGGAAAGAGAGACAAGACGTTTCTGTTCATATGTTAATGCTTTCTCCTCTTCTCGTTTTCCACCTTGAGCTGCTGTCATTAAGGGTGTTTTCACACCTGATAGTCTGGTCATTTGTTATATTCTCAACGGGTGTGGTTCGACCGCTGCTGTCGAATGAACCAGATCCTTTGAAAAACTTGCTCACCCTCTCGCCTCTGGTGGCGCTGTACCAATAACTACTTAAATGACTCAAAAATCCCTGAAGAAGACACAAACGCAACTTTCTAAACAAAAACGGTGGCATCAGATTTTAGCGGTTGTCTTTTGTCATTGGCAAAACATCACCAGCCATTTCTCCCGCTAGACTCAAGGGTTTGTCTTGGTTGTATTTACCCAGAATGCCTTGCTTTCTGGGTAAATACTAAGGGGGTTGACCAAAGACTGAGGTAGACCAGAGTTCACTTTTTTTGGTCCACATCAGAGTTCAATTCAAACCTCCCCAAATGAATCACTTTGTAAACAAATGAACCAGAGTTTAATTAAACCGGACTAAACAGGACTAGTGTGAATGGAACGCAGCATAAATAAGACTACACTGTGGACATTGTATCAGTTTTGCATACCTGGTTGGTAAGAATAACAGACAAGTAGTTGTGGCAACAGAGACACAAAAATACCCTGCATTTGTTTAAAGTCAGCCTAGGCTCCTGCTACAAAATGATCATGTGGAAATAGATCAAGCTTCTTTAGACATTCAGTTCTCAAAAGCCACTGTCCTGTTTTATTTAGAGCCAATTCTGCTCTAATTCATCTAAATCAAATGAGAATTTCTAAGCATATTCAAGTGACATACAAATTTTTTAAAGGTTTTGTAGGCTCTAGTGGCCTTTATTTGAAAGTGGTTAGCCAGGAGAGTGGATAATCAGAGAGGGGGAAGACACGCAGCAAATGTCACTAGGGCGGTACACGAACCTGCGATGGCCATGTGGAGGACTAAGGTATCCATATGTGGGTTGCGCTTTGCCCCTGCACCACCACAGCACCCATAAAAATGTTTTAATATAATGTCATAGATTTGTTCATGTCAAATTTGAAAAAGTCATATAGGTCCACACTGGTCCTGTGTTAGTGGATTGGTATCCAATCAAGAATTCTCTTTTTACACTTTAATACTCATGAAGACAATTGTATTGTATTGTATTGTATTGTATTGTATTGCATTGTATTGTATTGTATTGAGGCAAGAAATTTCCGGAAGTAAACAATAACATGCAACGTCTATGAAAATAGTCATACAACAAATTCTTCCTTGTTACAGGATTTGCACTAAGACTGGATTTAGTCTATGATGCATAAAAAACCTCAACAATTCTGATTCTGATTAAAGTCAGATTTTACTTCTCATGCTTTTCGGTGGCCCTAATCCTCTTCTGTGGGTAACTGAGTGGGAACAAAATATGGCTGCATGAACATGGATATCGTACCTATCCAACATGAAAGCACAAACCTGCACAAGGCTTTGCCTCCAGCCTCCACACACACGCCTCCGTTCAGGCAGAAGTTAGGGTGGCAGGGGTCAGCGGCGCGCGGCTTCCTGTGCTTTGGCGCTTCCTGTTTCATTTCCACCTCATGACCTTCCTTCTTGTCTGGGAGGTCTCTGCCTTGTACGGAGCGCTCCACTGGTACTTCAGTCTTGATCAGGTGGGTCAAATCTGATGGAATGACATTCTGATAAACATCTTAGACGTGTCAGAAATATACACCTCAGAAGAAATGTGCATTTTCCATCCTAACCATTGAAGTCAGCGGTTATGATGAGGTCATCATTCTTGAGGAAGCTCGTCCGCTGTAGTTGGTTGTGGGATATGAACGTGCTCCAGCCGTAATCCTGACCCCGGTAGCACCGGCAGCTCTCGTCCCAGACTGCACCAGACGTGGCGGTCGGCTTGTCCCAGCGGGTGTTATTGTCTAAGTGAAAAATTGGTAAGGAAAAGGAAATCCAGGTTTGACTTCTCAGAAAATCTTCATGCTTTATTAATGTTGGACAACAAATTCTTTGAAGGAACAAGACAAAAGTGAAAGGTCAATTAGTGCAATAACCAACAGCTAAAATTTAAGGGATATGGTTTTGAGAGTTGTGAAAGCACAGCTCATCAGATAAACAGGCATTTTTGACTTGTTTGGAGAGTCATGAACCAGCAGTACATTGAACATTGCAAATTTCTGCCTACCTGAGGTGAAGCTTCTTGTGGAAGACATCCTCAGTGTGACATCTGGGTCCTGATCCAACGCTACAATGGTGGCCTGCCTGTTTTCTGCAGGCCACTGCATCACTCCATCATTTTCCCCACTGCAGAGATGCAACGTAGCGCCGATGTAATCCGGGTATTCGCTCTCTCTTCCATTCGGGTAGACACTGACCCCGAACGAATAGCCCTCTGCGTTATAAACGCATTTGCTCCTTATAGACGTGCCGACGGGAGTTGTGGCGAGAACACCAGTGAAATTGCGGATTTGCCAGACAAGACTGGGACAGACGGTCTCAGTGAGAGTGATGTCATCGATTAAGATGGCGCCAGAGGAGCCGGCCGATCCTCTGATTCCTTGGAAGATGTAACGGAACTTTTTGGACATTTTAAGATTCACGTGAGCGATTTTCCAGGCATCATCGCCGTCGCCTAAGAAACAAACATAAACAAGTAGTTATTAATCCTTTGGTTACTTTTATCAGTCATATATTAATCCCAAACACTAGACCTTCCTAATTTAACGCAAGTTCATTTTTAAGCGAACACACCTGTGATAGTGTGGATCTTCCTGATGGTGTTCACGGCTCCCGTCCCATCATCACTTCTGATCCAGATCACCAGATTGTCTCCGGCTGCTCCAGTCATCTTGTAGAAGAACTGGAGACACTGTTCACTTCTCTTTGGATAGAGGATGCGTGACTCCAACAGGGCGGTGCTGCCCACTGCACCGGAAGAAGAGTCGAACTTCATAAAGTAGCCAGAATCTGAAAGAGATCACGCTTCAGTAAATGACAAATGTTGTTATATCACTTCAGTGGTTTTTTTTTTTTTTTTTTGGTTTAAGATTTTCTTTATGACTATGAAACCTCGGCAGTACCTCTACAACGTCCCTCCAGAGTATGATCCCCGTCGCTTGGGCTGCTCAGCGTCTGGACCCAGTCTGTGTTGTCGTCCTCATTCTGGATCATTCCACAGATGTTTATGAGCTCAAAAGAGCACTGATCCAACAGAGTATGTGTCTCAGCTGAAACATGTTTGATATCAAACAAAATCTTAATAAAGGTGAAAATTCTCAACATCCATATAAAAACCAAAGGTCACCACAGTTAACCGTAACCTTGGAGAACTGGTGCTTTCTTTTAAAAGACTTAGATCCTTTAAGATATTACTCATCCAAAAAAAAAAAAAAACCAACAACAACAAAGGCAAATCTGTAATGTATGATAAAGTAATAAAGTAGAAATACCCACCACAGTCATACATGCGGTTGAGCCTGGTGATGTCTACTTCGCTGAAGTCCAGCCGTTGACCAATGACATCATTAAAGTACGGTATAGTGGTTGTAATTGTGGGGATGCTTTCATTCTTATTAAAGGAAAACGGTCTGTAGTGCATGATGGACTCATAATCATACGGTGTGTTCAAATCTGTGATGAAGTCATCTTCATATTTGTTGAAATTGTGTCCCTTCCCTATAAGGACAAAGCTACATTATCACCAACATGAAAGTATAATCATTAGATAACTGTAGAAAATACACCATTTGTATATGTGGAAGTAATATTTAATACATTTTTGAAAGCTATTAAATTATGGCACAAAATAAGTGCCTAATTTGTGACAATTACACGCACACAAAAATATATTTTCATTTTAGTTTTGCTACTCTGAAATATAGTATATAGATGCACCAATAGTATGGAAAAGTGTGTTGAAATCAACAGTCAATCTTTAACTTCTTAGAAAGTAGTATCTGAAGTGATATATGGCAGCACAGATAAACTAGAGCTTTAAAATCAACCAAGAAATTCAAGTTTGTGGTTTGGAAACATTCAGCTTTTTCATTCAACTACAAATATGATGGACTAAGAAGCATGACTAGAACCAAAGTTTTACTTCAGCATTTTTCAACAGTTATAAAGTACAGAGCTGGAATAAATAACTGGGAACAGTATGGTCAAAACTAAATATTTGTGTACCAAAATAGATATTTATTTTCCACATTTAATTGTATTTAATTTACAAACTAAATATTTAGCTCATAACTAAATATTTAGTTATCAGCAAGCCAATTAGCTTGCTGATAAGCGGAAGTGAAATATCAAAATAAAAGCTGGGGTTTTTTCGACTGTAAACACCAATTGGAGGACTGAATCACTTCAGTTGTCGCTCAAGTAGGGGTTTCTTTTAAAATATATAATTCATTCTTTTCTTCTCAACATGTCCAACATGTTAGCTAAACACTGTTTTCACAGCTTACTCATGTATCTAGTTGTCAAGCCAGAATACTTCTGATTTATGTTTTATTTAGAGCTATCAAACTTTTTATACAAACAGCATAGAGTCATATTCATATAAATTTTCCCTTACGACGGAATAAGCACAAACTTTGATAGATGCCCATTTTGCTACATATTATTTTAAAGTTATATTAAAAGAATTGCCAAAGTCGAAAACATCTGACCTAACATAAAGCTCATCCAAGTCATGACAGCCGGTATCACTTTATGGCGATAATCGTTTTAAAAGGATCGAAAACGGCAGTCATCTTGAAAACTGACAGTCATCCTGAAATTCACAAGGCTAAAGGAAAATGTGAAAAATATGCAACGTAAGCAAACAAATTTTTATGCTTGTATCCACACTTCAAATATTTTTACAGTAACACGCTGCCACAAAAGTAGCTTTACTGCAATAGTTCTCCCAGTCAGCTGTACTGAAATTCACCAACTGGTTTTCAAATGGCCACTCTACGCTTGACTGAATGTGAAATTAAAACAACAGACACCCACCTTCTTCAATCTCGTCCCACCAGATTTTGACGTAGTCATCTCGGTCTGAACGGGACTGCTCATGGTAGAAGCCCAGCGCGTGGAGAAGCTCGTGTTGCACTATAGCCTTGGTGTCACACCGGGCTCCAATGGACACGTTCTGGCCTGTCCCGTCGTCTCCAACATAAGACCAGCAACTGCAGGGTTTACAGAGGAAGCAGTAAGTACGTTTCTGTTTCTCTTGAGTTTTATTTAACTATTGGGCAAATGAGCATCTTCGTATCTATGTATTACTTAATGACTGGCCCATAAAAGTTAAGCAACAACCTAGCCAGCTACAAAGCTAGTCCCTCACCCAGAGAGCTTGACGAAGGAGATGTAGGTGGATTCTCCCTCATAGGGTTTAAAATCCACGCAGGATCTCAAGCGGTATTCCTCAAACGCTTGAAGAATTACACCCTTAGCGTTCAGATCTAAATCAAAAAGGAAAAAGGAATTTGTTTCCTTTTGTGTTTCATCAAATTATGACAATTTGTTCAACGTGTGCAAATGTGTACCTAAGGAATCAGTTAGGATGTAAGGTATGGGAAACTTCCATCTTCTTGTTTGATCAAGGATGGCGTTTCTTTTTGGCTACAGAACACCGTGCAAGAAAAATCAATATCTGACTTATGGACAAATGCTTTCTACACATCCTCTCCGCTCACTTACATTGACAGCAATGTCTCCCTCAAACAGATGTGTCAACCCTGAAATGTCGGCAATAAAATGAAAGTTGTGTGTTAGGTAGTGGAAGTTATTTAGACCACATCAGTGCAGAGAAAATCAACACAGAATACCTCTGTTAATTTCAAGAATGTCATCTCCAAGTTCACCGGCGTCTGCTTCATCATCTACATGATAAAGCCAGTGTTACACCCCCAAAAAAGTATCCAACAAATTGCATGATTAATGTGGACGATTAGACACCAACCGGTTATTGTCGGAGCAGCCTGCACCTAGCACACAACGAGAAGGTCTTCTCAATCCAAAATGCTCAGCCAAAACTTTACTTTCAACTTTGTATAGAAAAGTGAGATTCATTACCTTTAAAATGGCAAAAACACCGATCAGAACAGCAATTTTCTTCAATCTGCCCTCAGGTCCCATGTTGAACAGAAGCATGATTCTCTGACTTTGTAAACATGTCAGTCAAGAAAGCAGCCGAGGAGGAACTTTGATCAGGGTTGTTATTTTTAATGAGTAACTTTTTTTGTGTAACTTTTAAAGCTGACAGGGCATGTGGAGGCGATAACAGCCATAAACTGTAAACTATGAACCGAAGATGTGCAGACAGTGACAGTCACAGCGAGATGGAGCAATACAAAGATTTTTGTCAACTACAAAACTGCTTGGGGTTTTGCTTTGAGTGTTAGAAAGCCGAATCCTATTTTTGTCTAATAAAACTTTGAACTAAAGCAGCAAGTTCTTGTCTGTACTTACACTTTGTAACAAAAGAAAAAAACGTTAGATCCCCCCCAAAAGAATGCCACAATTTAGATGTTATCTGCTACAAATGCAGACGGGTAAATGTCTTAAGTGTTTAGGAGTCTGGGATTCGAGAGGGTTTAAAGCTTTTATTGGGTGACATTTTGTAAAATTATTGTTGTTAACAATTCTCTTGCCTATAGAAGAAACATGTCATATCACCATGAATCTTCTGGGAATTAAAAGAAAAACTACTGGGATTGGTAGATGTCTAAGAGCTTGACAGATACCTATCGCCTAATTTAGCTGACTTTAGCTTGTGAGATCAGCTTAAAATGAAGATGTTCACCTCAGTCGGATGAACACATCCGTGACTGTACAGGCCTATCAACATTCAAATCACATCTAAACCACACTTTTCCAGAACATCTTGTAATGTATGACTGTTGTCCTGTTTTTTTTTTGTTGTTGTTGTTTTTTTACATGCTATTTATTTAAGTGTTGTCCTTTTATGACTGTTTGAGTTTGTAATTTTACTTGATTCCTGTAGCATGTGTAGAAAGGTGTTATGCAAAAAAAAGTATTATTATTATTATTATTATATTATGTAAATGGTTACTAACTGCCTTCAATTTCGCAACAGGAAGAATATATGTTTGCTGTTGTTGTGTCCAGACAGGTAATGTTGGCTCCAGCTCGCTGTTAAGCTGTCAAAAGCAGTGAAAACATTGAGATTTTGTGACAGTGGCATTATTTTCCTGTGCTTCGGAGTTTCTTATAATTACTTGGAAAAAAAAAATCACGATCAGGCGATCCTGAGAGTTGGAAAAGTGTACTTAAAAATCAGCTGAACCAGGCAAAACTGGAAAACAAAGGTTTGCTATGACAAAAAGGTAAAAAATAAATAATGTTTTGGTATTATTTATAAAAACAACTGTTATAAAAAGCAAAAAGGGGGCTAACACTTCATTAATAAAAACGCCATGTGGTTAAAACCTGAATTTAAAGCTGTTAAAACCATAAATATTAGGCACCAATTGTGTTTGATTTGTTAGTGGGAGATTTGGCTAACCTTTTGACCTTTAAACATTCATTAATATCTTGAATATCTTCAAAACAAAACAGCAGAGTTCTTGGATATCATGCTTGATTTTGTGAAAGCGAAGGGGTTGGTTGACATTTCATAACCTCAGGAAACATTTAATACTTTTAAAATAATAGCGGCACAAACATTTTTGCTGCATAAATGGTTGACACTGATTTCATTTGATATGAAGAAGGTACAGGGGGCCAACTCGTGTCTGTGTGCAACTTTCTAGTCAGTGTCTGTTTACATCTCACCTAAAGTAAGAAAAATGTAGAGGAACAATTTATTAGTACTTTGCGTAGGTATTTGTTAAGACCCCTAGGGTCTTCTTTTTTTTTCTTTTTTTTTTTGCTGAACCACAAAAGCATCAAATCTATTAAACACATTTTTTCTTTAAGATACATATTCCTAAGTGACTCAAAACAAATGTATCAAATCTTTATGGAACATCAAACTACATTCTTGTTTAAGGCTTTTATTGACATTTCTTAATGCATTGTAATATCTTCTAATACATCTTGTGCCGTCATCTTCACAGATGTTTCTTCTCATTCCAGCTCCATGTACTCCAATGAAGTGCTTCAAACGAAAACAAACATTTCACAATGTTTGTTGGTGGAACATTAAATAAAATAATACAGTTTGTAATTACTTACCAGTTTGTTGTGTTATAAAATCCTTAGTCATGCGACACAATAGGAACTTCTGTTTTGATGAGTGATGTTATGTCTATAGAGAAGGAAAAATCTTGTTTGCATTGTGGGAGAATTAGATCTCAAACTTTTATTGATTGAGTAAAAAAAAAAAAAACCTTCAAAATCAGCAAAGATGATGAGGTCATCATCTTTGAGGTAATTGCGCCGCCTGAGGTCAAAGTACTTGATGAAGTTCCTCCATCCCCATGATGAACCTCGGTAGCACTGACAGGTGGAGTCGTACGTGCCGACCTTGGAGGGATTATCCCACAAATACTGTCCATCTGATGATACTAAAAGCAGAACAGAAACACAGTGAGGAACAGGATTCCACACCTTGAATGATGATGTAGAACAGCCTGTGTTAGACAGGTAACTAACATTACCGATGAAAGCAGGTATAAAGATCAATGATAAAAAAAATTTTGTCAAAGTAAATTCTGTCTCCTGTAAAGGAAGAAAATTCTAAAATAGGTTAACTTTGGAAAAAGTCTGGCTCTCTCTCTTCCTCTGGATCCCAGGTCCTCTCGGCGGGCCACGTGTAGCCACAAGGAAAACAACAATGCGTGTTGACATCACAGAATTACAGAGTTTAATCCAATATAAGACAATGCACAAACTTACACCAGAAACTGCAGAACAACGGAGACATACATTCATTTACCTCACAGACTTGGAAAAGAAGAAAGCAAAGACGTGCAAAGACATCTTTGGAGAGTTGCAAGAGCAAATCTGATTTATTACTTCTGTGTAGAAAGTTTTATACTGAAGGAGTATTCTTATCTTTAATTTATTCAAATAAGGCGTATCTTTGCTCATCCAACAAGGAGCTATCTCTGACCCTCTATCTGAAGCCAGAAACCCCTGCTGTGTTTACGGCCTTTCACAGATGAGTGTGAAAAGCTACAACTTCCACTGTATTGTTTTCCCACAGACAAAAGGCAGTTCAAACGATCCTAGCAAACCATCTGCTGTAACTACAGGTAACATAAAGGTCAAAGAGCCAGAATAAGTTACTGATTTAAAACCACAATTTAGGTCATTTGAATCAAGACATGTTAAGTTTTAAAACTAGCTTATTTTAAATTTATTTTCTCAACACTCCCAAAGTGGCATCCAGTTACTGCTAGCAAATTAAGTTTACACCCAAACTGCCATTGGTCTGTCTTCATCTTGCTCTCTTCTCCTCGCCCTGAAATCCCATGGTAGCATGGTGTACCTCTGCAACAGCTAATGTGGGAAATGACAACATAGATGTTGTCCACCTGGCGTTAGGTTAAATTGATATAAGTAGTAAGTTTGGTGTTGTTTCTATTAGGCGGTTCCTTTGATGAAGTAAAATCACAGGGTGAGTACATCTTACATTGGAATTCCATCATTTTTGCTGTGGTTTTTACTGTCATGTTGGTCCTTTTTCCCTCAGGGCAAAGAGACGTACTCACTCGTCATATCAGTGGTGAGGCTGCGAGCAGAAGACATCCTTTGCAGAATATCTGGGTCTTGGTCCATCACCACCAAGGTGGCTTGTCGGTTGACAGCTGGCCACTTCATCACAGCATCGTTCTCCCCACTGGTCAGGTGGAAGTAGAGCCCTACATAGTTCCCAGTGTAATCACTGTAACTGCTCAGTGGCATGATACGTATGCCGTAACCGTAGCCTTCGCGGCTGTAGAAGCGAGGGCTGTCAAGAACAGTGTCGACATTAGCCGTTTCCATGATCTTGGAGAAGTTACGGATTGTCCACACAGCGTTTGGGCAGTGTGTCTCCGTCAGGCTGATGTCGTCGATGTAGATGCCTCCAGTGGAAGAGGTGGGGTCTCCGCGCGTGGCTTGGAAAGCATAGCGAAACTTAACGTCTATCTCCAATGGAACATGGGCAATCTTCCAAGAGTGTTCAGAATCGGCTGGATAGAAAGCAAAGGTTAATGTTTAAGAAATAGCATAGTGACAAGGTTAATTTAAAGACATTGTTCAATATTGAGCAAGAAGTTCTGATCAGGAAAAATTCTTCCACATTTACTACTTCAAATGTAGAGACTATTTTGGGGAAGGCACTAAACATGGCTCATAAGTATTATTGTGGTTTTTTTTTTTTTGATGCAACAATGTGAAAAGTATACTTTTATCTGTAAATAGATTTTTACTCTTGACCCAGAAAGACATTGATATGCCAAAATAAAAAGGGAAATAACTGTTTGGTCTTGTGCTGTTAGCTTAACCTAAATAGCAATTTACAGAAGTTGTTACCGTGATCAGCCAACACGCATTGACAAATTCTAAAACTGAATTTGTCAATGCGTGCAAGCCAGCACTAACAATTCGCCTAATTTAGCATAAAGTCTAATGGCAGCTGGAAGGGAAAATCTGTCTTAAACAGCTGATAAAAATCCATATCTGAAAGTTTACCTTTTAAGTCATCAATGTTGATTACTCAAAATAGGAATGTGAGAAAAAAGTATTACATGTTAAATTTATTTATCAGCCTGTAATTGATGTATATCTTGTAGAAAACTTTACATACAGTGGACTTCCACCTATTTTTAGATTTTTCTGTAGAACATAACTCCAAATTATTTGCAGAGAATTTGCCTGTTCTTTTTTTTTTTTTTTTTTTTTTTTTTAAACAAAATTAAATTTTTTTAAAAAAAAATTAGGTTGGGGGAAAAAAAA